CCGTCAGGATTTCGGAACGCGAGGCATCCGCTACTCTTGGCAAGACGCGCCCCCCGTCGCAATGCTGTTCATCGTGGAAAAGGCACGCGCGCCTTCCATCCCTCGGCTCCTCCGAGCAGCCGGGGTGGGGAGGTTAAAGTTACAGCCCCGAAGCACGCTGGGACGAGCCTCGCGTCGAAGATAACGGATGAAAGTCCCGTGGAATGTTCCTCGGACCGGCTCCTCGCGCCGGAACGTTACTCCCGGCTAACGGATTATCGAGGAATCGCTGATCGCCTCGAGTGAGCTCGATGCCTCCTATTGCCGGCGGCGTCGTTATTGGAATAGGAATTGGCATAGGTTATCGGTTTGTTTAACGTTACTGCATTTTTGTGGGTGGTTGTGGGGTTGGAGATAGATTCGAGTTATTGGTGAAGCTGGTTTTAAGTTGGAGGCGCGGACTGTTGCTAGGGGAGGCGTTAGAATTCTTTTTTGAGCTTGGGAAGCCTAGATTATCAAAGCTTCAATTCTCAATCTTAAAGCCTAGATCCTCAAAACATCAATTCTCAACCTTAAAGCCTAGATCTTGAACGCTTCGATTCTCAATCTGAAACACTAGACCTTCAAAGCTTCAATTCTCAATCTTAAAGCCTAGATTTTCAAAGTTTTAACTCTCAATCTGAAAGCATACAAGTTCTAGGCTTTAAGGTTGAGAATTGAAGCTTTGAAGACTTAAGCTTGAAGGTTGAGAATTGAAGCTTTGAAGACTTAAGCTTGAAGGTTGAGAATTGAAGCTTTGAAGACTTAAGCTTGAAGGTTGAGAATTGAAGCTTTGAAGATTTAAGCTTTAAGGTTGAGAATTGAAGCTTCGAAATCTGGGCTTTAAGCTTGAGAATTGAAACTTCGAAGATATAGACCTTAAGATTGAGAATTGAAGCATTGAAGATCTAGGCTTTAAGGTTGAGAATTGATGCTTTGAAGATTTAAGCTTTAAAATTGAGAATTGAAGCCTCGAAATCTAGGTTTTTAGATTGAGAGTTGAAGCTTTGAAGACCTAATCTTTAATATTGAGAATTGAAGCTTCGAAAAGCTCTAAGTCTTCAAGACTCAGCACTTCCAGTTGGCTACACCAAGGTGACTAAAAACGATCCAAGTGATTCCTAACAATAATGGTTCCCTGCAGCGTCTTAACGACAATCTCCTTAGTTTTCAATCTTAATTACCGTACGTCGTCGACCCGATTTTCGCAGCGTTCCCTAATTATTAAACAGTGAAACTTTCGCGAGGATAAAAGCCCCGACAAACTTCCTCATCGAACGTTACAGTCACTCTTTCGTAACTCGGAACTTTGTCGGACATTTTTCATTAACTCCTGTATCAATCTTCGAATACCCCAATTCCTATTTCCCAGGGAATATACAACAATCTTCTTTGATAAGTTTTGCATACACAGCGACAGAATGCTTTCAAAATATGATCGATCCCCGCGCGCCGTACTGTATTAAACAAGACTGTTCCATTAAACCTGGCCGCGTCCCGTTGTTTTTCGTTATACTTTTTCAATCCGACGGGATGGATTGTCGACGCGCATGTCAACCGTTCATCACGTCCGCCCGACGAATCAACTGTGTCCGGGCGCAGCTGCGAAGACGTCGATGAACAATGGATCCTAGTAGCCGGCGCAGGTCTAACGCTTGTAAGACACACTTATCCATCAAGCGCAGGTCGCGTGCCCGCTGCCGGTGACAGCTTTTGTTTAATAGCTCTGTTGACCGCGCGTTTCGCTGCTGATGCCTGTCACGCGCCGCTGTTTACTCGGAGTGTCGTCGAACCGAATTATTCCGGACTTTTATCCGGCCACGGATTAAGATCTCGAATGATCCGTGGGATCACGCGTGAATTCGTTATGAAAAAAATGGAAAACAGCACGAATCGAATATTTTCTTGTTGAGAGAAGTCGAACAGATTAACCCTTTGGGGACGAAGATTCTTAAATATACAAGACTTTCAGTAGATAAAGTTGAAATATATATAATGCTTAATTAATAGAAAAAAGGAAACTTCGCGATGATCTCTGGCTGTTCGAGTAAATCATTTGCAACTTAGTCTTCCAAATATGAAAATTCCATCTCTCGGAAATGTCGACAGTAGCAAAGGGTTAAGGAGCAAAGCTTTATTTTAACCCTTTGCACTAGAGTTTTTCATTTGAAATATTCTATACTTTCTAATTAGATGTAGAGAAGATTCTTTAAAATGAATGTAAGGAGAAATCACACATAAATTATGGAATAAAGCTTTCTTCCAATATTTCACTTATTGATGCAGTATACAAAGGTTAATGGTAAATGCCAAAGTTTCTAATTTTCAATTTTAGAATTGAGTTATTTTTTGAAAGGTGTTCAGACACAAGTAGATCAGCATCCAGCTAATATTCGATTTTTCAAAGATCGATTGGTATTAACGTATTCGATTCATCTGAAAACAATTCATTCCCAGAATTACGTTTCTTCACTCTCGGCCAGGGAAACCGTGGGTTTTTTTCGTAACAAGCGCACCGGGCCGTAGAGATTATGAACTTTTATGCGTCATCGTAAACTTCCTTCTTAAGATGTCGGGACTGTTCGGAACCTCCCGGTGTAGCCGGGAAACCTCTTTCCACTGCATATATTCTATCCCGAATGCCAGTTTAAGATCCAAAGAGAATCGCCAAAATTTTTACAGTGCAGTTCCCGAAAAGTGCTCGTGAACTTTCAGAACTAAGCGGGTGCGCCCACTTAGGGACATCAGAATCTCACGATTGCCCGGCGCACCCGTCTTTTTAAAGTTAATTTCCCAAAAGCGAGTTTATACTAAGAATTCCCGAGCATTCATTGGAATAACTGAAAACCCACTGGACCGATTTGTTTGGAAACTTCACTGGACTAGTTCAGATACAAAAATCTAGTGTCCCTCGGTGACCTTTTTTTCTTTACCTACCAACGTTCGTGTCTAGTTTTAACCCTTTGCGGACGAAGATTGTTGAAAGTATACAAAACCTTTTGCAGATTCTGCTAAATTAAATGAATGCTTAAATGAGAACGTGTTGATACATTATAGAAAATTTAATATTGAATCTGAAATTTTATCATTTCCATGGGTCAAATCTGACCTAACCAAGACCTTGTCTAAATTAAGTGACAGAACTATTTCATTTTGATGTTCCATGTGTTGATACATTATAGAAAATTTAATATTGAATCTGAAATTTCATCATTTCGTTGACTGAAAGGTGCCTCTCGAGTGCAAAGGTTAATACGAGTAAATAATATCAACTTATATTATTCCACTCGTCTCACAATAGAAGAGATTAACTTCGAATCAACACTAAATCCCGATCCGTTTGACGGAAGGGAATTCTACAGACTCCAATTTCCATCCCCCAATTATCCTCTTTCACTTGTATCGCTTCAGCCCACCCTCGATTCATCCCCAATTTCATCCCCCAAAAAAAGATCCTTATATTAGATCTCCTAGGGACGGTCCCTAACGTAACAAGAGAGCGGATCGCGCGAGAACAACCCCAAAATCGAGCTTTTCAGCCGGATTGGCTTCCACACCGGCAATTAACCAGCATATAGGGGATCGAAGAGTTTGCGAAGTATCGGTGTTCCATGTACTGCTACGTTTCGACTAAATGTTCCTTTATCTTGATTATATTTTTCAACTATTTCCAACCTTTCTGTGTTACGAGTCTTAAGAACAATTGAAAAAGAATTATTTCTAATTTATTTCTTACAGAGAATCACCATGTATCTTCACGAAACACCGCAGACATCACAGTTGAAGCATCAAATTACCGTAACAAGCCGAAAATTCAACTATTCCTATAACGAAAACTGAAGATTACAAATGTTGCTAAGTAGTATTTGCTATAGAAAATGATTTTCATTCGAAAAATTACAATTCTATGCAAATAAATCCTATGTATTTATCTATATGACGTTGCCATTTAAACGCAGAATATCCATTGTCACTGAAAAAGCTTCACAATACCCCCATAACGTATCCACAATGTCACCACCATATTGTCAGCTCTATATCCTACAACCTTTTGTCCGAAATATTTGTTTGTATCACTCGTACTTTCCAAGTTACCGAGTTTCGCGCAGAAGTCGGTCGTTCAACGAGGAAAATAAAAGATGGAAGAAATGTTATATTTCTCACTTTCGCTAGGAATACTATAAAAATTAGTTGCAGTTGCTAGGTTACGAAACAACCTGGAGTGCTAAGGGTTAGTAATTATCAAATTTTATATCAAATCGAACAGTGACCGAGAGTCACCTCTCGAGTGCGAAGGGTTAAGAAGCAAACCGGCGATTCCCGGCGCGCGCAGGTCGGATTTAGGTTGCGAGGCTCGAGAGCGAAATGAAACCCGGCGAGAAATTCCTTTCGGACAACGGGCACCGGGGCTTCCTGTCCAACAGACACGGCCTGGTTCGTTTGGGCCGCGCCGTCCGCGTTTGTCTCCGTTTGATTGGTTTAAATGGCGCGTGAACCGCCACAATTCGACCGACTATCTGGGAAACGCTTTAACCAGCCGTGTTGCATAGGACCGAGCTGCCGCGCATTTATCAGCCACGCTGACGTTCACTAATCTTCCTCTGGCCCGCTTACATGCGTCTGAGAACGATCCAGCTGCCTCTGAATTCCCCACTCGTTCCGAATGCGTTCCCAACGCTAATTGACGCCAATTTTTGGGTTATCAATGACGGTGTCGGGCTCTTGCGGTCGCGCGATGGATTCTTTGGGCCTTCAAATGCAAGACTTGTACCATGGACATTATATAATATAATGGAATTAGGGGATTTTTATCTTTATGGTCACGCTTGTCTGATTTTTGTAGAGTGAATTGTGAAATGTGGATGATAATAGATGCGATAGAATCTTGAGAGAAGTCAAATGCATGCAGGGTAAATTTGTAGATTAAAACCTTTAAATTTGATTAGTTAGCATGGCAATTTTCAAAGTTATAATCTACTCACCACGTAAAGGCCTTCCAGTGCTCCAAGAAGTGTGACCAGCTCGACATTCTCGAACCGAACGTCCGGCAGAAGCGCCAGAAGAGGACACCTGACTCCTGCCTTCAGCGCCCTATTAGAAAATCGTGTCGCTGTCAATGAAATAGAAAACTGGAATCTTCAATTAAAACTTAAGCATAACGGAAGATAGTAAAAAGGATCGACAGATTATGGTCCTTCGAAAAAGTGCGGCCCAATAACAAAATTGTCGATAATACTAAAGTACAAATAAAACGATCACACCTTTTCTCCATTCCCCTGCAAGTCTAACCTTGAATGACCTTGAGTCATACATCCTTGAATTCGTCTTAAAACGCACTATTTGACGGTGGATAAAAAAACGTATCATTCCATTTAAAAAAAGAAAGTTGACCTTCACCTTGTAGTGTAACAGGAAAAATAAAAGTTCCACCACATGATGTCCTCGGTATTGAATAACTTTCGCCTGAAACATTTGCGTATAATCAATATTTTCCGAGATATTCGACTGCAACCCTTTACAATTTCCACCCTGTATAATCTCCGATGGATCTCCGAGGAATCTCCGAAGAACTCCCGAATAACGTCGACCCGTCCCGAGGCGCAGAAAAAAATCAGACGCGAGATTCCACGTGTCGTTCGCGTGTCAGACGAGCAAACCGGGGAGCGGTACAGGATTTCATCCCTCCGCGTCCCTCGCGACGGGACAGGGAATCAAAAGATCGCAGCCAATATCGGGAAGGGAGCGCGACGTAGGGAAAGTTATTCTTTTCTCTTCATTTCGCCGCGGTATTGCGGCTGTCATGTCCGCGAGTGTCGGCGACGTATGCGCGGAATCCGACTGGTAACATCGGCGCGGCCTCCCCTTTAAGGCTTGGCTCGGGGGCGAAAGGAGAGGGGAGGGAGATAGAGGATTCGCGTCGCTGGAATTTCATTTTTCAAGGAAATTTCGTGGGAGTCAGACAAACCGGGACTCGCTTGGAATTTCGTTGACTGTGATATCAGCCTCCGCAAAGTGGCCGGAACTCTCTATAATTACAACCCTTTCACCTTTTTCTACCGCGCGGACGCTGGGGACTCGGGTCAAAAGAGTACGTCTTTAACGCTTAACCCTTCCCTCCCTGTGTCTCCCCATGTATGTGATTTCTTTGTGAATCCTTGGAGAGATTCGGGATTTAGGGGAATTACGTGGTATTAGAATGTTGAGTTTTAATTGTTTAGATTGATAGAATGCCTTTGTCTCTTTGAATTGGTTATTAGGAATTTAGTTCCATTTTATGATACAATAGCTTGATTATAATTGTTGTATTGAATATTTTTGCTTTACCGTGTGATATCGTGAATGTGGAATTTTCATCACTCATACTGATAGTTTTAGTCTCTTTGGATTAATCACTGGAACTTCTATTTTATAATACAATAACACACAATCGTAGTACTGAAAAGATTCAGATGACAATACTCTCCAAATGTCTCCGTTTCGCTCCTCAGTGTACGTGTGATTTTTCGTCGAGTTAGTTTCACAGAATATCATGTTTACCTCATCAGAAAATATTCAAATATTTTCAGTGGAAAAACTTCCGAGTGCAAAGGGTTGAAATACTATTAATACCACATATATAAAGTCGGATGATTTTATTGAGAAGCTCTAAACTCCCAGAGGCAACAGCAAACGGAATCTGGTTGACGTTAATTTTCCAATCCCTTTGTGTCAAAATCGCGCCGCGCTGGGAACGCGAGTAGCGGCGTTCTAACGATAAAAGGAAAATTAAGACTGCGCCGCGGCCGAAAAGGAGCCGATCATTTTCTGCCGGCTCGGTCAAAGTAGGCGTTAAGGGGTTGAAACTCGATCATGAATAAATATTCATCCATCGGTTTTGCGGGCCGAGCCCGTTACGAATTTATTACCGGGATCGACCGGCGCCCCTTCCGCGATTCTTCGGCCGATTATAAATAGACGTGTCCCGGTCCGCGGTAAAAACCGATATCACCTGTGAATCATTCAGCCGGCGGCGCACGGTCAACCCTTCCACCGGTTCGGGGGCTAACTGTTCCGTGTACGGTCTTGTTAATATTCAACAGCTCGATTTATCTGTTCGAACGCGGGACATTGATCATCGCCGCGCGCGCGTGCCGAGGGGGCGGCGACGGACGACGGGGCTGAGGACGCGAGATCGGAAGGCGTCGAGGGTGGCTGACCGGTTCAGAATCCCGAACATCGATTTTCCTTTTTATATTTCCATCGCGCGACGCTTTAAAAATAATTTATGCCTCGTTTTAAACCGATAATGCGGTTCTTTTAGACGCGAGGGTTGTTGTGGGTATTTTTAGGGTCGCCATTGAGGAAGAGGGAGGGTGTTGCGTGATTATGAGCTTTAGGATTGTGGATTTGATGGGATAGTAGGAATATAGGTACGTGTTGGAGCGAGTAGAAACAGACAGCGATGGTCAGACGCGTGACTCGGGAACTGAATTCTTTTTCAATGAAATTTTTCTCGTGAAATGATTACTTTATTGTTTAAACGTCGCGAGTATTCTATAGTTTGAGAAGTTTGAGGCTCTGATTTTGTTTGTGCAATATTAATTACAGCTATCAACGTTCTGTAATTATCAAACATTAGTATAGGAACAATCAAACTTGATTGAATCGAAAATTCTCGAGACATAATCAATTTTTGCGACGAACTCATCAAACTTACAGGTGAATTACTATTTTCATTTCAGCAAAATTTCTATATTAGGAAGACTGAGTCGCGGACGAATGATTCAATTACTCGAACATCAATAGTACGTAGTTTCCTTTTATTAATTAAGCAACCGATAGGTAACTCAGCTTCATCTGCCGAAGGTTTCGTATATTTCAAAGAATGTCCATCCGGAAAGGGTTAAAACATGCCGAACCTCTTTCGATCGGCGTCACCCTCTCCCGAGAAAGCTCCGCCGTGATCCGAGAGGAACAAGTAATCCCGCGTTTCGTCTAATGATCCCGATCCGCGTCCGCCAATTAAGCCGGGCAATTAATAAGCAATTACGCGCGAATTACGCTCGCCGCGTCCCCGCGGCGCCGCTTTTGTTGGGACTCGCGGGGACAGCGGTGCGCGCGTCGGCCGCGCTGATCATTGATTAATCGCGATGGGATAATGAATCGAGTGTTGTTAAATAGATTCGATTATAATAGGGACGCGGCACCGGTATTTTTGAATCGGTTGATGGGACCCGGGAATAATATAACGGCGGATGCGTCGTGTTTCCCGTACTTTAAGCGGCAAATTGCGTTTCATTCTGCCGGGACACGCGCGCCGCGACCAGTAAATCTGCACTTGTTCCGGGCAGGTTTAATTTCGGTGTAATATTTGCTTGGACAGTTCGACCGAATGCTTTCGGAAGTTTCGATCGTCGATTCTTTATTTATTAGAGCAGCTTCGGTAATGGAGGTAGTTAATCGATGAACTTTCTCTTTCGCTATTTATGTTATTTGAAATTTCTGCTTCGATTAACACTAGAACTGAAAGTGAAGCTTTTAAGATCTAGGCTTTAAGATTGAGAATTGAAGCTTTGAAGATTTTGGCGTTTAGGTTGAGAATTGAAGCTTTGAAATCTGGGCTTTTAGATTGAGAGTTGAAGCTTTGAAAATGTAGGTTTTAAGATTGAGAATTGAAACTTTGAAGATCTAGGCTTTAAGGTTGAGAACTGAAGCTTTGAAGATTTAGGCTTTTAGGTTGAGAATTGAAGCTTTGAAATCTGGGCTTTTAGATTGAGAGTTGAAGCTTTGAAAATGTAGGCTTTGAGATTGAGAATTGAAGCTCTGAAGGTCTAGTGTTTCAGATTGGGAGTTGAAGCTTTGAAGATTTAGGCTTTAAGGTTGAGAATTGAAGTTTTGAAGGTCTAGTCTTTAAGATTGATTTTTCTATTCATATTACTTGAAATTTCTGCTTCGATTAACCCTAGAACTACCGAGCATTTAATACGATTAGTACGTAATCCCTATAAAAATTGTAACAATAGATTATTTTCAGTTTCCTCGGATATTCGTTGTAGTATTCAAGTGAAGCTATTTATTTTCGATACATTTACTTCTTAGAGAAATGATGCACTTATCAAGTACTATATGTTACACACGAATGATCCAGAAAAGAATAAGCAAGAGGAACATCCAAGAAGAAGACGAAAGCGACAATTGATCCATACCTTTGGATCCCCTTGGTAGCCGCCTCGGCGAAACTCCGCACGTCGTGGTAGTCCATATTGAGCGGCCCAGTCGGACTGTAAACGAGCCTTTTCGCGGGCAGATTGATAGGCAGCACCGCGCCGATCACACCCAGGGCGGAATCGATCTGTGCCGCCGCGTACAGGACTGTCCTGAAGGGCTCGGGCTCGTCGAAGCCGGGCGCGCAGCCCGAGACCAGGATTATCCCGTCGTAGTCGCAGCTGCAGATGTTCATCTCGATCTTCAGCTGACACGGCATCCATCTGTAAACGAATCGCCGCATAGTCAGGCCAAACAGCACTTTTCTGGACGAAACTCGATCTCTGGACTTTGCGAAGCTCCTTTATGAAAACCTCGAGAGTTCATCGATTGAGACTTGAATCGATTCACGGCTCAGTTTGCGCGTTGATGAATCAATTTCTTTAATAATCTTGCATAGAGATGTGTGTCTTTTTGATTATTGCAAGGAGATATCAGGAATCAGCCATTTTGGTTTTAATGTTAACACGTTGAACACGATTTCATACAGTAAAATACACAAAATACCTTAACCTACGCTAAGAATTCTAGATACTACAATAGCAAAACAATTTCTTCGCACAGAGTAGAAACTATTTAGCGACACACTGGCAACCCCCAATTTTCGTTACGCGGGTCGTCGAATTTTAGGGTTTCGTCCGCAGGCGGCACCGCGCGGCCGGCGTTAACGCGGGACCGACGATCGAGAGTCGACACCTGTTGGGGACAGGCTCGCCCCCTTATAAATAATACAAGCGCGCGCTGTATCGTTCGTCTGGCAATCTGCAACCGGCTCCTACGAGCCGAGATCCTAGGCACCGACGAGTGGAAGCAGACACGGGTGTATGGATCGCAGCTTCAAGCCGGGACGCGAGATTAACCCTTCACGGGACCCGATTCATCACGCGCGCTGAATTTCATTTGCGAGGCCGCGCCGTTGGGGCTGCCGATGTATCTTTCCGGTGGTTTGCTAGGGCAACGGAAGTGGCATTGTAATTAGAGGTTTGAATATTTTTC